CCTGTGTCCAGCAATCCTTCTTGTACAATATAATCGTATGGAATATGCTTAACATTTTTAAAAACAGTTATACATTGTGTGTTGGAGTGGGTGGGTGAGGGTGACTGGGTATGGACATGCCACAGTGCTCATGTGGAGGTTAGGAGACAATCTTTGGGGGTCAGTTTCCTTTCTTCTATCATATGGACACCAGGAACTGAGCTCAGGTTATCAGGTCTGGGGACAAGGGCCTTTACCCCCTGAGCCACGGACTCCTTACTTGAGTCATGGAATGCAAACTTCTGGAATGAGACCTATGAATTATTTTTTTTAAAACCTCCCCAAGGTAATTACATTGCCCAAGATTTAATATTCTAGATTTATTTTCCCCACCTTCCCTGTCTCCTTTCTTCCCTCTGTCCACCCCTCCTTCCTTCTGTGTGTCCTTCTTTCCCCATAGGCTCACTTGAAAAATCTAACCACCAACGACAATAGTTCTGAAAGGCAGATGTTTCACACCAAGGCACTGCCAATGTATAACTAACATTTTAGAAGAAAATTCACCCAAAGGCCTGAGATTTCCCGCACTGATCTAGGCTGTGAAGAATTAAAAAGTGTATTCTTGTCCTTTCTTGATGTTTAGGGAGATAGTCATGTCACACTGTAAGACTTCGTGTTGTATTTAATCATATTAACCATATTCAGATTGACCCAATCATAAAGAAGACATTACCTGAATTCTAGACACACTTAAGGTTCTGGTGGGCCATCACCACCACCCGTTTTTTTCTAAATGAAATGCCCCCAATTTACCCTCATTTTCCCGTGCAGAAAGTGCCTGTGTTCTTTAATTACAATGTTCTTTCCTTCCTGCAGACTTTTTTTGGTTTCATTTCATTTTGAGAAAGGGTCTCATATATCCCAGGCTGGCCTCAAACTGGCAGAGGATGACCTTCAGAGTATAACCCTCCTGATTCTACTTCCCAAGTGTTGAGAGTACAGGTGTGCACCACCATAACAGGTGTCTATGGTGCTCGGGGTCAAACCCAGGGCCTTGTGCATGCCAGGCAAGTGCTCTACCGACTGAGCTACATCCCAGTCTATACGGAGAGTGGGTCTCAGGTAGCCAGTGCTGGCCTAGGATGACCTTGAACTGCCGGATTCCTCTGCTTCCACTTCCCGGGTACAGAGACTACAAAACCACATTTCTATGCCTGGCTTACTCAGTATTCGAAAACAGAACCACGTGTCCCTTTGAGGTGAACCTAACACATTGCAAGCGAGTGCCCCAGCACAGCGGGCGGGGCGCTAAAGAGCCCAAAACGAGCTCCAGAGCCATGTTTGGTGGCACAGATTCCTTTATTCCGAGGCCCCGTGCCATCCTGTCTGTAAGTCACTTCTGGGCTTCCTGTTCGGTGAAGGTCCGGTTCTGGACAGGACCCCCAAACCTCTCCTTTTCTCTCTGTTCTCTTCTCCCATCGCCTCTGCCCTATTGTGTTGTTAAGGATTTTTACTCTTTATCAACCGCTGGCTCTTCCGCAGTTTCCTTTTTCAGTTCAACAATCATGATGGTGGAAGAGGACTTATTCACCCCCACCCTTTACCCTTCTCTTATCTGTCTGTCCCCTCTCCTTAACTGGGCGTGGCTACCAGCATGCTTTAGCGGCTAGCTTATGGGCAGTTCTAAGGGTAGGTAGGCCTTGTTTCCGCTGGGCTCTCGGGCTCCTTTGTTATTGCCGTAGAAAGACAATCAGAACAGCCTGCTAGCCTGTTGGTGTGCAGAAATAAAAGCAGATGCATCCCACCTACAGCTTAGAGCCAGTTAGCTGAGCTCAGCCAAAGCCAGCAGGGTCCTGTGGCCAAGCCTTAGACTTTGTCACACAGCAGGACGCTAGCTTATGTGTCCCCTGAGTCTGACAGCTGTTCCGACAGCCCTCTGGGAGACAGAACTCGACTGAGCCCAAGCACACTGGAGTATCTCAGGGGAATGAGGGATGGCAGTCCCTTGTCTTCCCTTGGGGCTGGGATGTGAAGACAGGAAAGCCTATATAGATTGAGCATACTTAATCCGAAGGCTTGAAATTGGAAATGCTCCCACCTCTGAATCTTCATGACCACTGATAAGCAGACTTCTCCATACCTGCCCTCCACTGGGTCAATGTATAAAGTTTGTTTTAAATGAAAAATCATTAAAAGATATTGTACAAAGCTACCTATACAGACTATGTATAAGGTATGTGTATAAAACAAACAATTTTGTGATTCCATCTCCAAGGTATCTCATTGTCTACAGGCAAGGATTCTGAAATTAAAAATATTAAAATCTCATATGCAAACATCTCTGATCCCAAGTGTGTTGCCCAATGATGACTCAGTCTACAGAGGAGAGAATACAAGAGGCGGGGAAGCAGAAATCAAATTCCAGAGCAGGAAGGACCGTCAGGAGGCCTGGAGGAGGAGGAGAAGGTGCCCACAACAGCCTTGCTCATACACAGGAGCCCTGAGAACACAGATTCTCTGGTACACATCCAGGGCCCATGAGGTCAATGCCTGGCAGACCATGACAGGAGCAGGCAAAGCATCCCCTGACTCAGAGCTCAGCCACTCGCTCTGACAGGCCACCATGGTTCCTTTTCTCTGTCTGGGCCATTTCACTCTTCAAGGGGCCCCAAGAAGGTCCTGCACACCTATGTGTGAGCTCTTCATCCTCTTGATTCAAAGGTGGAAAGATCTGCTCAATTTTTCTGTAGCTGGCCATGCCCGTCTGAACCCCTAGCTCTTACAACACACCCCATGGGTTGACTTTGCCCAAACTTTGCCCAACCCCTCCCACACACACACACTTTTTCTTGACCATGTCTCCCACAAGCAACAGTCAACCAAGCTGTTCTGAATGGTCTTTAGGAGACAAGAGGGCTTGGGCAAATCAGGAGGACAGGCTGAAGTATGTGTTGGGGGTCTTCAGCCAGCTTGATTATCCATGTAGGGACACAGCTGGCACCCCTGAGATGCCTCCAGTCTTCAGCTGGGAGTGTCCACAGCGAGAAGCAGCTCAGATGGTATACTCTGCTGTGTTTGTGTGAGAGCTAATCTTGTCTGTCAACTTGACTGCAACTGGGATCTACCCAAAGGCAAGCCTGGGCCACTCCTGTGAGGGACTTTCTTGACCAAGGTACTTGAAGTGGGAATAACCGCACTACACAGAGGCAGCACCTTCTGGTGACATCCCAGATCATAGGGCATGGAAGAAGAAACGCTTTGCTTTTTGTCTGCTCGTCTTTGCTTTTGTGGACAACTTCATCTAACCTATGGCTGTGACTGTTGCATTCCTTAGTATAGTAGTACCACCAGCTTCTCTGGGCCTCTGAATGTAGACTGAAGACCAGCATCTCTCCCAGAATCCTTCAGGCCTACAGTGCCAGATTGGAACTGTGGACTGAGTAGCTACCAGATTCTTGGTATTTCCCTTGGGAATCAGCCATTGTTGGTCTACCTAGACCTTATCATGTAAATCAATCTAATAAACCTCTCTTTCATACATATTCATTCTCTCAGTTCTCTTCAAGTAAAGCAGTGGTTCTCAACCTTCCTAATAGTTCCTCATGTTGTGGTGACCCCAACCATGAAACTATTTTTGTTGCTACTTCAAAACGGCAAATTATTTCCTGTTATGAATCATAATGTAAATATCTGATATGTAGGATATCTAATATATGACCCAAAGGGGTTGCAACTCACAGGTTGAGAACCACTGTTCTAGAGACCTGACACACTTGTTAGTTGGAGACAGGATATGACTATGTATCCTAAATTGGCCTCGAGCTGGAGTTTCTCCTGCCTCCTGGTGCACCTGCCAAGTCTTTGCTTCAACCTCAGGAAGAGATGGAGGGCCAGAGAGAAGGTCTCAGGCAGAATTTGGTGGAATGGGTTGGCTGGAAAGACTCCGTTCCAAGGCCTGTATGCACACCACCTTCCATCCTCAGCTCCTACATCTGTCTCGGTATCCTGAGACCTGGGAAGGCTGGAATTGCCAAAGAGAAAACTCTGGTTTTTCTCCTGACTGGATTTGACTAGTTTCCTGGCCACAGACAGGTCACCTGTCTTCTATACTGAAATAGTTAGAACCTGGTTGAGGGCAGTCAGGGAAGCAAGGCACTTCCTGAGCTGCTGTGGGATGGTCTGTATGTTAAATTGCTCTGATTGGCCAATAAATAAAACACTGATTGGCCAGTGGCTAGGCAGGAAGTATAGGCGGGACTAACAGAGAGGAGAAAAGAAAGAACAGGAAGG